TTAGTTCCCAGATGTCCCTACCGGGCAAGTTATAAAGGAGGAGAGATTAAGGCATTATCTGAATAAGATTTTTAGTATTTACTTCATAATGCCATGTGACAAACATTGTTTTAAGCACATTGAATGTGTTAACTCTCTCAGTCATATAACAACTCTTTGATATCTTTGGTATCATCATTATTAATATTATTCCATTTTACAGAAACTGAGGCACAGAGACACTAAGTAACTTGTCCAAAAGGCAGAGTTGGGTAGTCTAGCTTGAATAGTTTTCTTAATCACTGGATTATACTCTTCTTGAGATGGTCATGGCAGAAATCTCAATCCTTGACTGAGTTCATTTGTTTTTTATACCTACCTCTGCCCACTAGAAGCAAGCTTGTTCCTCATTAGGTCATTCTCTGTTGTAGTGACATCAGAAGCTCAGAAAAAGAGTTGTGTCTCCCACTGACTTATTTCTTCATAAATGTCAGTCATAGCAATGGTGTCTAATTGTTCTTAACATGACCGTTCTAGTTCAAGAGAAGTTTAATGAATCACAGCATTCTAAGTCAAGGGTTGGCAAATCATGGCCTATAGGCCAAATTCTGCTATTGTCTGGTTTTGTAAGTAAAGTTTTTTGAAACACAGTCATATTTAATTTATTTACATTTATGTATGGCTCTTCTCATGCTGTATTTGGCAGAGTTGAACCATTGTGCCAGAGACTGTATGGCTTGCAAAATTATTTACTCTCTGGCCATTACAGAAAAAAATTTGCCAACACCCTGTTCTGCTCCTGATCAAGTAGACCCAAGGAAAAATTATCTTTGATATATACTACATTTTGACTCGACTCTTGAAATCTTACCCCTTTTTCCAACTTATCAGAGGAAGAAAGTGTAACAATGTTTAACAGAATCATTTTCTAAAATAAAGTCTCAGTACCTACCAATTTTTCATCACAACCATCAAAATTGAGTACCTCATAAATAGAACTTCAAGAACTATTCAAGTGCTTACTTTATGCAAGGTAAGAGTAGAGTATTGAGGAGGTTGGTGGAGTACAGATGTGAAACACAGGTCTAGGTTATGAGGTGACCTCTATTTAGTGAAGACATATAAGCACAGATTCCTAGTGTAAGGAATCTCTTCTCAGCCCAGTTCTTAACTGATACTCTTATTTTAAGACCTATCATGATCAGCTTTCGCATAGAAGGATGTTCATAGTATCTCTCTGCTAAATGGTGAGAAACAGGATACATACCATTTCTTATTCATCTTTGTATCCCTCACAGTGTCTAGCAGAGTGTGGTGTATTTTCTAGGCACTCAGTTAAGTTTTGTTGAATTAGACTTTTGCCGTCATAAAAAAAGATAAGACAAAAAGCAATCTCTACACACCTAATGAATGGCAATGTATGAATTCATCATCCATGTTTTCAATCCTACTTCTTCCCATATTCACCTGGTTCAAGCTCCCTTGGGTGCTAGTAAGAAGGGACAAAGATACCCTCCAAATTTTGTGGTGTGCATTGCAAAATTGATTAAAGCAACTGAGCAAACTTTTAAGAAAATTTCATTGTTCAATTAAAGCTTATATGCAATATGATTTTGTATTAGTTTTAGGTGGGCACTGTAGTTTAGACAGTGTGGTTAGACAATCATATACTTTACTAAGTGATCCCCCAATAACTCTAGTACCCAGCTGGCACCGTTCATAGTTATTACAATATTATTGGCTATATTCTCTATGCCATACTTTACATCCTCTTGACTATTCTATAACTACCAATTAGTACTTCTCAATCCCTTCACCTTTTCCACCAAGCCCACAAGGCTCCTTCCCTCTGTAAACCATCAGTCTGTTCTCTGTATATACGAGTCTGTTTCAATTTTGTTTGTTTATCTTGTTTTTTAGATTCCACATATCAGTGGCAATATGTGGTATTTGCCTTTCTCTGACTTATTTCACTTAACATTAATACCCTTACTATTTGTGGCAGCAAACATTTTTCTATAAGAAAAGATGCTCTTTGATATGATGTCAGGAAATACCATGAGATTTCATTGACCTTGACATAAGTAGCTAACGAAGATATTGTGTATTCTGCTGAGAATCATTTTACAGAGAAAGGCAGATGTTTGATTTTTTAGATTTAATTTGCTTTCTTCAGCAATATCAGAAATCTCTCCTTTTAGCTCTAACTAAATGCACAAAAAGGGAGGGCCTATTAATCCTACTTGTTCTATCTATTCCTACCTGGAATAAATACCTAAAAGTAGTCCTTCTTTTACCTTGTTTCTTAAATACAAACATTACATAATATAAAGACTGCTTCTGAATCCCATTCTCCCACTGGAGTTGCTCATGTAATTTGCCTCCTGTAACTTGGTCATATGTCTGCTCCTAATTCTCAAAGATCACATACTTCCAAAGGGCATGCTTATTTCTTTTCAAAGAAGCAGCACAGAATGGATTCAACTGCATAGTAATATATCCCATGACGAAACTTCCTGATTGATACCGCTTGCTGAAGAGAGCTCATTTTCTGAAAGTGCACCTAAAGAGTTTTGTGTGGTCTCATCCCTTCTCCTGTGACCTATTAGTAGCTCCTTTGACTGAGTTCCAGAATTCCACATTGGTTCAGTTGCAAATTCAAAAAGTTTGCTTTTCATCCTGACTGCTGTTCTCAGAGCTGTCACTCTCCCACAGAGCGTTCTTTTTTAAACTATCTTTTCTAAGGATTTTTATTATAACCCCATAAGGATTCAAGTTTTATGTTCCTTTTGTTCCTTTTCAACATCAATTAGTTGGTGAGGCAAACTGAGAAAAGATAAATCTACGGTTTTGAACTAGGAATATAATTCAAACCTGACATTGGCTTGCAACCTGGTATTTCTCTATCCTTTTCCCTTTAATATTTGATGATACAAAATACCAATGTTCAATAAATGTTTGTAGAATGGAATTGAGTTTTTATTGAAATGTTCCAAAATAGAAAAAATGTCAAAACTATAAAACAAATAAAACAAACCAAAAAAATCCAGATAAAAATCAACCTCTAGACTCTAAAGTGAAACATCTGTTTTAATTTCCTTACTACTTTTAATTGCTCCTACACAAAACAGGAAAGAAATTAGCCCTTAAGTCAAGTTAAGGGATACCTTTTATAAAATATGGGTGTCTAACTGAATCACAAAAATCTTTGTGTTCATCTGTAGTGAGGCTTCTATGAGTTTGACGAAATCTAAAAAAGCAGCAACCTCATGAAACAGGCAACTGATGTATTCCCTCAGTAGGACTGAATAACCATTTTACAAATGAAGAAAAAGAATGCTTTACAGACAAAAATATTTTCAGAGGCTATGAAATTCCAATGAGTAAAAAGGCTTGATGTATCCAGTGCTGTGATAACAACAATTATATAAGACAACGACAGAGTTAAGGAATCATACAATGGCACCGCTTTCTTACCGATAATTTCTAGCTTAATGTTTTTGGTAGGTCAGTGAATATGAAAGGCAAAAATAATCCTATAACACTAATATCATCTTGGGTTTTTACTGGTTTATATGAAGGAACCAATGAGAGCAGGAGATATGTATATAAGCTGGGCATGTATTTCCATAGCTTTCAGAAAGAGAGCACACTGAATGGTGCTATGGCCATGAGCCAGAAGCAAGGACCCAGAGGAGGAGGATTCCCAGAGGTCGGCTGCTTCTTTGGTCAAGAGCTGTTTTTACTTAGTAAAAACACACTTTTCACAAGGAAACACCTTCCAATTCTATATGACTTAAAAGATTGCAGAGCTAGAAAAATAATCTTGTTTTGTGGCTTTAAATTATGTTTGTGTTTTTTGTTCTGTGTGGTTTTGTTTTGTTTCCCCTGCAATGCACCATTAACTCTAAATTTCATGGTCGTCTACAACCATTTAAGTTTTGAATATAAACACAAGTTTTCCTCTTTTAAACTTCTTTTTCTTTTAACATAAATAAGCCAGACATTCTAAAGCCATCATTTAAACATGGGTGCTTACATTCCTTAGAAATAAATAATGTTGGCCTAGTTCTGACAAGTTAGTTTGTTTCTAAAATGTAACATAAATTCTCAGTTTTAACTTAATGTTCAAAATTTCTGATTGTACCCAGTTTCCAAAAAAAATGCTTCCTTTTAGGCATTTTACTCAAAGTCAAACAATAAAAAGGTTTTAATTTTGTTTAGAAAGAAAGAATAGAATAATGAATCAATTTCGCAAATACTTTAAAAGAGAAGAGAAAATGATCTAGGGAATAATGAGTTGCCCTGCAGTAGATAATCTATCCAAGAAAACATTACACCTCCAATATAGAGAATTGTTAAAACTACTGAGCATTCATTCCAAAAGAAATAAAACAATTGTCACATTTGGAATATTATAAGTAATACACTTTAGTGCTGTTTGGCCATAGAAACAAGAGGCCCATAGATTCTGGTTACAGAGATCCTTGTGAGCATATTGCATGATATACAAAATCCTGCATATAGAGGGATTTCCTTAAACAAATATTGTGAATAATACTTTTTAAAAAAACGTAATTTTAAGATAATACTGACACTAAAGGAGTGATAGGAATTTTCCCAATTGTCAAATGAATCCCAGCTTTGGAATGCCTTTTTCCAAGTTAACAAGTATTGCATTCAATTTATACTTAGTGATTAATATTATAAAAATATGCTCTGAAACATTTGCAGCATTTGTGTTTTACTGCTATAGCTATACAGTATGCTGTCAAATTCATATGCTTGCTGTATTTTCCCTTACTGGTTCAGATCCTGTTTGTAAGTCATGTTCCATTGAATGACTCATAAATTAAAGAAACTTCTAACAAAAACTAGAAAGAAGCAAGATTTTTTTTTGTAATGCTTCATGCATTAGGCTAGTAAAGTTTCCCCATGATATTTAAATGAATAATTCATTGACTTAATAGGTTATCATTTGAGAAAGAAACATAACATATAGGAGGGCATTTAATACTCACTGTAGAGAATGGTTCCATTCAAAGCACTTGTCTTTACAGTCAAATAGATGGTAACAATTCTGTTTTGTTCCTTCTCCAGCAGAAACTTCAATCCATTTAGGGTTGTAAAAAAAGGCAGTTCTAAATAGGAGTTCCCATTGAAAGATGGAAAAAATAAACCTGCATCTAAAAAAAAATCCATGTTACTATATTCTGATATATTATATTGCTAATCAAGCAGATAAGAATATAATATTAATAGTTGTCATTCATTTAAAAAGATAAAACTGATATTTATAAATATTATTTAGGCCCAACTTTAAGAAACTTAGATATATAAGTACAATACATTTTTAAAGTCATTGTCTCATATAATTAACCACCAGTCTAGAGGAAAAGACTTGAAGCAAGAATCTAATTTTTTGTTCATGGATGAGCTTTAAGGGTGAATAAACACTCTGAAAGTATATGAAAAAAAATTGTGAAATAATAGTTTTCATTAGATTCTTAAAATATTCTGCAGTACAAATGGCTGGACATCAAATTATAGCCTTAAAATTGATGAACTTTATTTGATGTAATTATACCCCAAAATCTGTGGCATAAAAAGATTAGAAAATTGTCACATTCCTTTTATTATTATTCAATAATACTTAGTGATTTTCACTAATATGTAAAATATTTTATAAGGAGCATTACTATAATATGTAAGGCTATTCATTTTTAGGGCTCCTCTTTTAGAATTCTTAATATTTTAATTGATTAATCTCATAAAATCCTGAGGCACATAAATTTTAAAAAGTATTTATTTTGTTGTCATATATATGTTTAGATCTATAGACTTGGCACACTTAGCAAATATATTATATAAGATATTGAAAATGCAGCTTTATTTTTTTGTCTCCCTCACAATGGGGAAGTTTCTTTGCCTCTGGGTGAAAACTTGGCAATCCCTGTGATTCATGCTTTCTTTCTAATTTATACAATAATTAGAAAACTCATATTTGGTCTAAGAAATTCATCAACACTTACCCTTCCTCAAAGATATGACTTCCCCTACCCGCTTTACCAGTCATGGCCTATAGGGTGCCTGGTACTGGTCTGTATTGAAGGGCAGAAAGAACCTGGTTTCTGCTCTTTTTTTCCTTTTTACCCCCTTCCCTTCAGGCCAGCTGTTGTTTTGGACCTTTCTAGTTTCAAATGGGAGAGGGCAAGGTGTGAAGGCACAGTTTAAAGGAGAGAGAACTATAAAGAAAGGAGAGCTGTTAAAGCTGGTGATTAATATTGTGAGCAGGCCTCCTGCTCTCTAGGAATAGTTTAAAATGATCTGTTTCACTCATGGTAGGAATGTCAGATAAAATACAGGATGCTCAGTTAAATTTTAACTTCAAATAAACAGCAAATATTTTTTTTTAGTATACCTCATGCAATGTTGGGACATACTTAGACTAAAAAAACTATTTGCTCTTTATTTGAAATTCAAATTGAACTGAGTGTCCACTATATTTAGTGTTAAATCTGGCAACCCTATGACTCATGAGGATTTGTGCAGTCTTTAGCAACCCTCTGCCAACTGCAAGTTGTAGGACTTGTGCTATAGCCTGCCTTGGGTTTGTCACTTTTAACTTGGTCCCACTCTGATTTTTCATATTATATGCAGACCCCTGCTGTTGACAGCCTCTTCCCTGTGTCAAAGACAAAGTTGCACATTTTGAAGGCTAATGCAATAGTGAAGAGAGGCCAGAATTCGGTCTTTGCTCCACTTTCTGAAACAAAAAGTGGTGGACTTTTTAAGAGCTGAGATGAAGGGATCATCGGCTACCTGTTTTGCAAGTTGGCCTTACCCCCCAAAATGTAAGCTTTCTCATGTCTTCATTGCAAGAGGTAATTTACAGCTTGGAGCAAGGCACCCATTGAAGTTAGGTTGCTGCCATTCCATAGAGATGGGAGATAGGACCATGATCTTTATTGATTACAATTGAAAGAGGTTCTGGAGAAAGACATTCCTGGGTTGCAAACTGCCAAAAAACTTTCAAAAAGATTTACATCTCAAGGGGCCAAAGAGAGAATTTATAACTGAAAGTTTTCTAAAGTAAATGCACTAAGAAGAGTGAGGTCAAAGGCCTGGAGTCAGGAAGAAGCCTGGCTAGCATTCAGGCACCCTGAAAGGAATGTTAAGGTGGTCCCAGTCATCTAACTAGTAAAACTAGTTGGGCAGAACAAAAAATGACTCTGGGTCAAATCTCTTTTCTGAGGGTCTCTATCTAGTTCATGGTAAACACTCCTGCATTCCCTGCTCTACCGTCTGTGGGAGTGTAGTTAATTTTCAGTCTCTTCTCTCTCGCTCCATAACACACATGCACACACACACACACACAGGCTGCTTTGGATTTCTCAGGTATGAATTGTGACTGTTGGTCCATAGTGTTCTTTCCCAGGTGATCTAGTTACAGCTACCACCAAACACTGTCACGCGGTGAGTGAGAGAGTGTAAAGAGTGAGGCTGGCTGATAGCTTTCTACAAAACCGTTGTCCTCAAAAGCATTATCTCTAAACTCCTCTCCTTTTCAAATGCTGCCCCTTTTTATATCAAGTGTTTCCCACTTAAAACCTGCTTTTAGATATGGCACCTCATTTTGTTTATGACCTTATATCCTGGGTTGTAAAAAAAAGTTTATGCCTAACATCTTGTTTGTAGCTGTAATTTTGTATTATCAGATACAAATAATATAATTTATCTATTAGCAAACTGCTTGATTTAATTTATATGGTAATATAATATTAAAAAAATTTTGTCCTACACACAGTCTTTAACTCCTAGAAATTTACCTGACTGGCTATTTTACTGGATCTTTTTTTTCCCAAAGTTTTTAGGCTTAGTCAGAAAACCTTTCATCAGTGCTAATATGCCTAGAAATTTCTGTAATACTTAATACTTACTTTTATTAAAATTTTCTCTTTTCTTGTCCCTCACAACACTATACTACAATTTGATTGTCTTCTTACCTTCCCAATAGCACTTTTTCAGATTGTTCTTTCAATTATTCCATAGTGTGCTGTTTCCAAAGCTCCATCCTGGGACATAATTCATCTATGTCTTTTCTAAATCTGATCCTCCTCCATTTTCTTCCTCAGAGCACGTATTCTCCCAGGCTTAGAAACTCCGCATCAGTATCCACCCATCTCTTCTCAAACTAGTTGCTGATTCCTGTTATCTCTTTCTTAGATAGAATCTTGCAACTTCCCTTGTGTTACCTCTGCCCTTATTTAAGTTCTCATTACATTTCAACTTAAGTATTGGCAACAGCTTCTTTCTAACTGGCCTCCCTTCCTGTAGCATCTGATAGCTGCCATTGCTGTCAGGCCAGCATCACTCATTCGTAATCATCTAAGATCTTCAGTACTACGGAATAATTCATCGGCTTATGGAGTAAACCAGGATCTCCATGGTCTTCTTTTTTGTGTTTCCACACACACATATCTACCAGCAAGGCTGAACCACAGTTTCTTCTGTGGTTCCACTTGTGTTCACACTGTTCTCATTGTCTGGAATGCCCTTCCCGTAATCCCAGACACATAAGACTTCCTTTCATTCAAGGCTCACCTTTAATATTCCCCCAAATTTGAACTCCTTATCATATTATATTAATAGCTACAACTTTTAGTGGGTGCATGTTTTCCACATTATATTACAGGTATAAGAAATTTGGATAGAGCTGATAAAATAATAAATCTGAATCTGTTACATTGGATAAAGGAGGTAAATTAACTTTGGTTAGTAGAAATAGAATATTCTAAATAAATGAATTCTTAGAAGACATCAAGGGAAGTACGAGTGAGAGGATGAATGTGCTGTCTTGTGACCACAAAAGGCCGCAACATCATTAGTTTGGACCAGATAGAGTAGAATATTAACAGATTCGGAACTGCACATGTACCACTTTTTAATATATAAGGAGAAAAAACATAGGCCCATCAAGTTAAAATGCAATGTAGGCAGCTCTACACTCGAGAAAGTTTGGATGACAAATTTAGATGTGGCTATGGCAGAGGAAAATGGATAAGATTACAAAGAGATGGACTTGGGTTTTAAATTAGTAGAATCTTTATAATATAACTCAGCAACTATTTAAATGTTGCATATCTGAGATTCTACCATAATATAGTTTTAGCAACTGTTTCTTTCTACTACTTTTATTTATCCTGCTTGGAGTCACTCATGTTTTCATTCATTCAGCAAATATTTATTGAGTGGCTAGTCCATGCTAGAACTGGTCAAGGGATAGATGGTGAGCAAAACAGATAAATACTTCACCCTCATGAGCTTAAATTCTAGCTTTATGGAAGAAAATTCCAGGTTAGAAGTCAGTAAAATTTATTCTCCTGATATGGTAGAATTTTTCCTGGCTCCTGGGAATATATGCCACCCTATTTGCTTATATTGTTATTATTTGCTTATATTGCTATTATTTCTTACATTTCTTCTCACTAAGGGCCATTAAGTCTAATATGAGGTGTAAGACTAGATAAAAGGAAGAGTATAACAAAACCTATTCCATCTACCTTTCCACGCTATTTGTTCTCTGGTAGAAAGATCTGTGACTGGTTCATCTTTGCATTTTCCTATGGCACAAACAGTTTTGTATATTGTAGGCAAATACATTCTTAGATATATAAAACTATAACTAAAACAGTTATTTGTGGTCATTTTGAAAAAAAAGACAGAAAAAATATTCTTATAATTAAAATGAGATGAAGAAAGACTATAGAGATTGGGTTCTGGCATTTTTTCCTGTGGTTAAGCATTTTTACATTATTAATAAATCCAAAGGAAAACTTCTGTAAGAGAACACTCTTCTTATGAGGGTTCATATATGAATCAAATTTGGATTCATAATAGGTTTTACTTATTCTGAGAAGTAGTAAAATCATCAAGAGCAGTAGAAATATAATTCAATTTGCTTAAAAATGACTTCCATGTTATTTCACAAGAGCACATCTATTGTATAATTCAGGCGCACCTGCCTACTTCCTAACTCACACGCTCCTTGAACCTTGTTTTCAGAGCTGACAGGTTTTATGAAAATTATGGCAGGGAACAACAATTATGAACAATAAACATTTGCTATTGAATTGCTTTCTAACCACATTAATTTTCATTATCATCATGTTTAGTGAATATGTTG